AAAAAAAAGGATTCGAAAATTTTTTTACTGTTAAATTTTACGTAATTTACGAAAATTTAGAGTATATCTGCTCGTTGCCGCCAATTCAAGGTTCATTATGTGGTACACAAGCACTTACACGTTATTATTTTAATATAGTCACTGGACAGTGTACAACGTTCCAATACAATGGATGTGATGGCAACCAGAATAATTTTATCACATATTCACAGTGCAACAACTTTTGCATGTCAAATGGTAATTTTTACTGGGTTAGCTTTAACGGTCGACTGTGCTCAAAAATGTGGGTGATTTAAATGGCACAACAATTGCAGCATGCCCTGCCGGTGATTCAGTATATTTGGATCCGAACGACCAGCAACCGATTACCTGCAATGAAGCACTTCAAAACAGTTGCCCTCCCAATTATCACTGTACATATAATTCGCTGATGAATAATTATGTATGTTGTGGAGCTGGCAGCATGGGTAAATTTGTTCAAAATCCTTCTGCTTACTGATCCAGGAAAAAAGTTGCATTCTTCAGTTGAACAGAGAGAGGATTCACAGAAACTTTTACAGGCGTTTGTCCAAATGGTGAAAAAGCGTATATGAATGCCTATGATTCATCTGCACGAGAATGCGTAATCAACGTTGAGGGATCATGTCCAGACAAATACTTATGCAGATTTAACATGCAAAAAAATCGTTACTATTGCTGTACATCTGTTGAAGGCAGTAAGTTTTAGGGAAGCCATACCACCAAACAACTTTTTAGTAATCAATTTTTGCGGTCTGGAGTTGTGTATTTTTTTATTGTTCCTTATTTGAAATTTTGCAGAAACTTGTCCTATTGGAAAATTCCTTCTTCAAGACATAAGAACAAATTTACCCATGAAGTGTACAATTGGTGGCCGTTCATCCCAGTGCCCAGAAGGATACAGCTGTCAGTCATATCTGGATGGAGCTTTTCAAGGATTCTGTTGTTCAACTAATAGTAAGGCTGTTGATTTATATTGGTCAATGTGGATGATCACTGCTTCAGCCGGCGTACCTACCAAAAAAATAACGATAATCTGACGAGCTAGAACGCTTATCGTTTTCCCCGCTTAGAAGTTTTGCAGTAGTGAAAATTGCTCGGATTACCGATTTAGACAACTTTTAATGCAAAGTGGATAAAAACTTTCTTAAAAAATTTATCTATTGCAAATATTGCAGCTATATGTCCTGAAAATTCTGATTTTCTTATTGACGAAGCAAGTCAACAGCCGAGGATTTGTACAGTTGGAGATTTCGTTTCGTGTCCAAATGGTTATGTTTGCAAATCGGCTCAATCATCCCTTGAAGGTTTTTGCTGCAGAGGTGGTACCTATGCGCTTACAGGTTGGCAGTATGATTGTTATTCCTGATCTTTGTTGGTAATCTTAACTAGTAAATTTACTGAAAAAATAGATAATGAAGAAGCATTTAAGGTGGTTGTCCTCCGGGAAATTTCGTTTATATGATAAACAACGAAATAGCAAACTGCGATCCCTTCAATCCTCCAAACGCTCCCTGCCCTCCAGGATACACCTGTCAGTGGTCTGTCGAAAACCAAAGGTATCAGTGCTGTGGATCAAAACTTTTGCCACAACCTATTCTGAAAGGTACCATATTAATTTTTCTATACTTCAGATGTAGGATAACAGCAAAGAGGCTAAATTTCAAGCCATTATGTTTCTATAAATCAATACTTTTGGAAAGAAATAAGCCGCTTGATTTTATATACCCTTAAGAACTAAAAAATTTAATAAATTGATAAGATTCTCTATTTTTGGACAAAATTTGCTGTAAGACTAATAATTGATTAGGTTTAGTAATGAACATTATACAAAAAATTTATTAAAGCATTTTTCTTTCAATGGTAGTTATGGCATTGGAATACTTATCGTTGTTAAAAGTTTACAACATCGTATGTTTCATCAGAAATTACTTTTTATTTGAGAAGATGGTTGTCCGCGGGAGCAAATAGCTTTTATGGAGGGCAAAACACCTAAAGTTTGCACAGCTGGAGGGCGTAGTTGTCCAATCGGTTACTTCTGCCAGTTTTCATCCGTAAATGATCAGTTTCAGTGCTGTGGAGTTAGT